ATTGATCATTGCACAAACTTCTGGACACGTGTAAAGTTGTCTGTGATGCAACATACCTTGAGATTAGTCACATGAGCAATCATGTAGGTCAACAGAGCATAACTGGCGATGTTGAATGGTACACCAAGACCCTGAATTAAAGAGGATATCTATCCACTTATCAGGAGAATATCAATGCATAAGTTTTAAACCAAATAACAACGCGATTTGATCTGTGGAGGCACATGTGTTTAAACAATCAAAACTGTATTGATCATATACAACAAAATAGGAGAAAAGGTTGAGAAGGCAATTTTCAGTTGATTTTGACGATATCCTATTCTTCCATTTTTAGGAAATGGGTTCATGGTAAATTGGCAACCTAACCTAAAGAAATTCCTTTAGATACGGTGGTAATGACTGACAGGTTGTCCTATTATTTATCCATCACATCATGTTAGTATAGTATGACCCCTATGTATTTACACTTGGGTTTCTCATTTTCTTCTCTCAGAAACCCATACGAAGTTGGTACGTATAAATGATACTATACTCTTTTTCTCAGTGGGGACATGTAAGTGGAAATAAAGGAGAAAGTAAGCAATTAACATTAACATTGATTATTGTACGTAGTACAGACCATATCAGCTGATCGCTGGTACAGTTGGCAGGACAGTTCACCATTGACAACAAAGAACTGGACAAAGGCATGACATGGAGGAAGAGCCATTTTGGGTAAATCTGAAACATAAATGGTATGGTACATGTAAGAATAAGTAAGAAAACAAATTAACAATGAATTATAACTGATACAAAACCAAATTCAGGAACTTAACAAAAAAAAAAAAAAAAGAAAAAATCTAAATGAAATTATACATTCCAAAAAACACTTAATATTTTAATTTCATGGGTATATCTAATAATCTATCCACTATCCTATGTAAAACTGACAATTTTGCCCTGTCCTAGGTAACGTCATGTGCAATGTAATAAAGTATTTTTGACAGATCACCTAAAGGGTGAACAGCCCACCACCTGATGACAGGTTTAAAGTACAGAGCAATGTTCTAAACTGCAGTAACATCTTGTGACACTTAGTACCTGGAGGATTCCAGGCAGACATGATAATACGTCGGTCATCTGGCTGGTTCTTGATTTTGTAGATGACATCTTTCAGTTGGTCCACTCCTTGATCAGTATAGTCTGTATGCATGTCCTTATACTCAGCTCCGAAGTGTCGCCATTGAAAACCATACACAGGACCAAGGTCACCTAAGGATAGAGAAAATCTAATGTCTATATTATAAATCTAAGCACACCTTCAAGTGTCTCATTCAAATCTTTGATAAAAAGAATCATATCCTAGCAAGGTAAATCAGACTTAAGTTTAAACGCTTTGTAATATTGCTATGATGTATCAGGGCTGTAAAGATATGGAGAGCAAACCTGTTAGGTTTTAAAGTTATTTTGGTAACAGAATAATGTATGTTTTGATATTTGAAAATCACAAGAAAGATGAAAATTAACAAATATATTTGAATAATTCTACTACCTGTTTATATCTGATTTGCTAAATATCTTTTCATTGTACTGGCTGTTAATTTAAGTACTATAGTATCACAATACCTTCCTCTCGATGACCAAGTCCCAGCTTACTGAGAAATTTTTTTGAGCCATGTTCATCCCAGATGTGAATTTTTTTCTCTTTCAGTTTGTTTGCATTAGTACAACCCTGAATGAACCAGATCAGCTCCTCTGCCACTCCTTGCCAGAACATATTCTTTGTAGTCAGTAGGGGGAAATCTTCAAAACACACAAATTCAAATCATCAATGACATGTAATCAAAGTTGTCAATGTAGACTTAGTTCCTGATACTGATTATAAATGAATTTAATCATTGATGGGCATATTGGAGAAGACACATATAATGAGATCCACTCACATGTACAATGCAACATCAGAATGTAAGTTATTGGTCGGGAACAATCCTGGTTGACAAGCAGCTTATGATAGCTAGTCAACAGATTCTAACACAAGTTACATTTCTTTGATTCACTGACAGAATTACAATCAAAGAATGGATAGGAATGCCTACCTTCTCTCAGATTGTACCTCATCTGCATACCAAAAATCGAAAGGGTGTCAATCCCTGTTCTGTTGGTCTTACGAGTACCATAGTCCAAGATTTGTTGTATTGCATCAAGATAATGCTTCTCATCATGCCTGTAAAAGATAATTAATTCAAAGAATCAGATATTGATCAGAGAAACTGACTGAACATAAGGTGTTTCTCAGAACCAGATATGCTGTATCAAAATTTCAATCACCCACCAAGATGTACAATGCAGGGCTCGCGCTGGCGATCGCCAATGGCGCCATTGGCGAAAGTGAAATGAGATTGGCGATTTCAAATTTCTATTGGCGAAAATGCCGATTACAGACATTTCCAGTCACCGATGACTGTATAGAGAAAAATCACTGGCGTTTAGCTTATTTGTAACGAGTGACAGGTAAATTTTGCTCCGACATCGTTGTGTACTACACGGTCACGGCTGACTGACTCCCGCAGCTGGGGCAAGGTCAGCTATCAGAACTCTTTTTGTGTTTTGACAGCAACGTTTACCTGTCTAAACAGCAACACGCCTGTAATGAAAATCGCCAATTATCCAATGATGTCTCCATTGTCTCAATCCGAGATAGCCTCTGCCGTGAACAATAAGGTAAGTTAGCTGAAGGAAAGATGTTGTTTTATCGGGAATTGGCTTACGTAAGGTCGATCATTAGGTGTGTCGATGTCGTTAATTGGGCATGAGTTTGTGATTTCTGCAGACATAACTTAGTAAACTAGTGTATTTGAAAGGGCCCGAAATAGGCTTCTTAACCTTTTTGATCGACTATTAAAATAGCAAGAAACACAAGATATAATTTTGTTGTTTTTACACTATGTTGCCGATTTTGTTTTATATTTTTGTACATATTTTGGTCACATCAGATTTGGCCCTTCACTAAGATAGATCGTTAGATGAAATGGGAAAACGTAAACTCCCCTTTAGTGATAGGGATGGGAAAGTACCCAGATTGTCATCATTTGGTTTTAAGACACCATCTATTGAAAAGGAAAATGACAGCCCTGATCAGGTTACTAACAAGGGCAGTAGTTCAAGAAAGTTTCTAGATAGTTGGAAAATTGGCAGGCCATGGCTAAAATATGACCCAGAGCAAAAGCTCATGTTTTGTGACATATGTATGAAGGCATTAGTTAGAAATAGTTTCACTGATGACTGCAGTAAGAAAGAGTGTTTGGTTAAGCATGAGAAAGGATCAGGTATATACAACTATTCATCATTTATGAACAGAAAATTATGTAAATTTAGATTAAGTAATTCAGAAATACTATACAGCCTGGAGGATGGTACAATGTAGTTACTCATTACAGCCTGCTTGGCACATGAATTAGAAACACAATCTTTTAGTTTAACGATTATGTCTTTATTATCTCTGAAATGTTTTTAAGAGATATATTACTTAGGAAGTTACTGTAATAAGTATAATACTTTGATGGTGTAAAATAAGGTTCAATGTAATCCTGTATCTCTCTGCAAATGTCCAATTCTATTCTAAATTTTATTTTCAATTTTACAGATGAGAACTCTCACTCTGCTGCTTTGGCAACACAACAGCAAACTGCCGAGATGCAGAAGGCCTGTAATAATTTCATGTTTATAAACTCTTTTACCATATACTGTATTATGTTTGATGTATTGTTGTTAAAACAGTGAATAAATAATGTAATTATATAATTAGCATATTTGTTATTATTATATGAGGGAATTAAGGGCTCGTCGGGTGAGGGTGAGGGCGAGTTCCGGAATCTGTTTGCGCGCTTTTAGCAAAAAACATTTGGTTTGGCGAAACTGAATTTTGACCCAGAGCTAGCCCTGACAATGCGGTAAAATATTATCAATAACAACAGACGGTACTTTGAATAAATCCCTAATATGGGATCATCTCATGGCACATTGGCATTTTTCTTTTAGACATAAAAATGACCCATTTTAAGGTCAGGGGTCAAATGACAATTATCGCCTACAATACTGAATATATGGTTATTACCGTTGTATATTTGGTAATTCAAGAAAATACCAGTCTCGATTGCATTTACTAACAAATCTGACAAAAAGGTCCAAAATCATGATTTTTAAAATTGAATAATTATACCTCCAAATCCTTTTTAATCACAAAAAAATTAAACAAGAGTATCAATGAAACTGAAGAATGCTCTCCAGAAATGACTTAATTCAACACAAAATTTTCACAATGGGCAATAAATCTGTAATAAAGGTGTTGCTGGCCGTGAATTTGGTTACATGATCCTAGTTTTAATGTAAGCAAAGCTTTGTCATGACACAAAATTTTAACAAAGGGCAATAACTCTATACAGAGAGAGTTTACATTAGTGTTGTTCCGATTAATCGAGTTAATTGAGTATCACTTGTTTGAGATGTTTGATCAATTAATCGTGTAAGAAATCTGTAATCGATCATCGTGATGTATGAAAATAGATTATTTCAACATTGAAATTATTTTCAACATTAATAAAATTATTTGAAAAAAAAACGACATTTGTTTGTATTAAAAAGTATTCTGTGCAATAAACGAATAACAAGCACACAAAATGATGGTGTAGGTACAACAGTTTTAGTTATTACGTGAATTGCTGTTAAAACATAACACAAAATACGTATTTAGACTTGAATAATATCCAAAAAACAGACAATTAACAATTAATCGATTTTAATCAATCATCGATCGGTTACACAAAGTTGATGATCGATCAGGAAATCTCAACCGATTCCAAACACTAGTTTACATGAACAAAACTTTGCTGCCAACCGCCATCATGTGGAATTTTTATAAAAAACTATTTTTTCTCAGAAATAGGCTATGAAATTTTTCCATTAGATGACCATACATAGGATCCCTTTGTACTGATTTTGAAAAAAAAAGCAACCAGGAGAAAAAAAGTACAAAAATCTCCTTTAATGTGAGGAACACAAATGGTATTACATTGATATACAGGTACATTATAAAGTACGTCATCACACAAACAGGGTACGAACACCATATACATGCTGTATATAAGATTAACAATAAATTTAGTACAGGACATAATTAAGAGACAACTGTGTATAATTAAAGATACAAAGAAATGATTTCTATCATGTTTCAAAGTTTAGATCTCCCATATTTATGAGCTTTCTTGTAAATTTGTTAATTGTACATTTTCCACATGCAAAGCTTTGTCCCAATCACACCGCCATTTTCATTTCAATTTTGGGGTGAGGTTGATAGCCCACAATTTCAAAGTCTTCAAATTTGAAATCATCAATGTCTTCCACTTGTCTTTTGATCACTAATTTTGGGAATGGCTTTGGTTCTCTAGCCAGCTGAAAAGAAACCATTGTGGAGTTTGTAATGATCAACATCTTGGATTATGAAATTTTTGAAGAATTTCTCCTTGTATTTGTTAAATGTAACAATAATGCTTCATATAACCAATTCAACAAACGTGTTTAGAATCGAAGTAAATATGTTTAAATACACCAATGTTCTTTACAAAATGAATGATGTTGTTCTGATATTTTCTGACGAAGTGTTCTACCCCAGTGAAATATCTACTTGACCCTTAATTTCTGAAATAACTCGATCCTACAGACCAGATTCCTGTCTGTCACTTCTACACAAATTACCAATTGAATTCTTTGTGGTATCCCTACAGAACCTGGAGTTCTAAGTTGATGTTCAACCATAATAGCACAAAGAAAAATTCGGGAAAAATCATGTACTAATATCATAGAAAAAGAAATATAAATTACCTGTTCTTTTAAGGGATCAATGTGATTTACATACACATGAGCATCTCCTAATGTGTGTACGAAATCACCAGGCTGAAAAAAAACATACACAGTCATATGTATTAAACAAACAAGTACATATATATATATATATATACAAACTTATACAAAGTTGACCTGTCCTTAAAAGGTTGGTCCTCAATACAACTGACAGGCTATCACACCAATCTTACGGATTTTTATAACAAGGATTTCCCTATGATCAAGAGATCCCAGATGATCTTGGTGCCCAGCATCATTTGATTTTTATTTGTTCTTTAAAAAAAATGATGATGATTATAATAATAATAATAATCTTTAACTGCCAAATTAAGATGGTCAACTGCCAGCCATTTTTCCCCCCTGATCCGTCCCAAAATCAAACAGGTATAACTAAGGACCATGAGGTACCTACATACGAAACGTGAGTAAGATCCAACCATTGCTTCTTAAGAAACAGCAACAACAAACTTTCATTGTAATCATAGACTGTCGTCTGTCAGCCATTTTGCATTATTTAATCAGTCCCAAAATCAAATGGGCATAACTGGGAGCAAGGGAAATCTACAAATGAAATTCGAGAAAGATCCATCCAGTCCATACTTGCCAAGGAAGAGCAGTAACAAAAATTCTTTATGGATAGATGGACATAGGGTGATTGGTATAGCCCACCATCTGACCATGTTTAGAGAAACTAAATTAAAATATAAACTTTGGCAAAATGATATTTATTAGATAAGAATTTAGGACCTGAATGCAATAAATTCAATTTTCAAATAATAGAAGATTATAAAAGTCAGTAGGGATTTTTGCTGATTTTAACCATTAGAGTGCCAACTATTCAGAACATCAACACTAAACAGCCCTGCATTGCGAAATAAATACACACACAAAAAAACCCAAAAAAACAAACAGATTCAGTGCAAGATAGATGTTGCCAAGGAGCATTGATCATTGCACAAACTTCTGGACACGTGTAAAGTTGTCTGTGATGCAACATACCTTGAGATTAGTCACATGAGCAATCATGTAGGTCAACAGAGCATAACTGGCGATGTTGAATGGTACACCAAGACCCTGAAAATTGACAAATTATTCTAATATCAGGGCAGTGTTTGTCTTTTAATCCAAAGGAATTAAAGAGGATATCTATCCACTTATCAGGAGAATATCAATGCATAAGTTTTAAACCAAATAACAACGCGATTTGATCTGTGGAGGCACATGTATTTAAACAATCAAAACTGTATTGATCATATACAACAAAATAGGAGAAAAGGTTGAGAAGGCAATTTTCAGTTGATTTTGACGATATCCTATTCTTCCATTTTTAGGAAATGGGTTCATGGTAAATTGGCAACCTAACCTAAAGAAATTCCTTTAGATACGCTGGTAATGACTGACAGGTTGTCCTATTATTTATCCATCACAACATGTTAGTATAGTATGACCCCTATGTATTTACACTTGGGTTTCTCATTTTCTTCTCTCAGAAACCCATACGAAGTTGGTACGTATAAATGATACTATACTCTTTTTCTCAGTGGGGACATGTAAGTAGAAATAAAGGAGAAAGTAAGCCATTAACATTGATTATTGTACGTAGTACAGACCATATCAGCTGATCGCTGGTACAGTTGGCAGGACAGTTCACCATTGACAACAAAGAACTGGACAAAGGCATGACATGGAGGAAGAGCCATTTTGGGTAAATCTGAAACATAAATGGTATGGTACATGTAAGAAAACAAATTAACAATGAATTATAACTGATACAAAACCAAATTCAGGAACTTAACAAAAAAAAAAAAAAAGAAAAAATCTAAATGAAATTATACATTCCAAAACAACACTTAATATTTTAATTTCATGGGTATATCTAATAATCTATCCACTATCCTATGTAAAACTGACAATTTTGCCCTGTCCTAGGTAACGTCATGTGCAATGTAATAAAGTATTTTTGACAGATCACCTAAAGGGTGAACAGCCCACCACCTGATGACAGGTTTAAAGTACAGAGCAATGTTCTAAACTGGAGCAACATCTTGTGACACTTAGTACCTGGAGGATTCCAGGCAGACATGATGATACGTCGGTCATCTGGCTGGTTCTTGATTTTGTAGATGACATCTTTCAGTTGGTCCACTCCTTGATCAGTATAGTCTGTATGCATGTCCTTATACTCAGCTCCGAAGTGTCGCCATTGAAAACCATACACAGGACCAAGGTCACCTAAGGATAGAGAAAATCTAATGTCTATATTATAAATCTAAGCACACCTTCAAGGGTCTCATTCAAATCTTCGATAAAAAGAATCATATCCTAGCAAGGTAAATCAGATTTAAGTTTAAACGCTTTGTAATATTGCTATGATGTATCAGAGCTGTAAAGATATGGAGAGCAAACCTGTTAGGTTTTAAAGTTATTTTGGTAACAGAATAATGTATGTTTTGATATTTGAAAATCACAAGAAAGATGAAAATTAACAAATATATTTGAATAATTCTACTACCTGTTTATATCTGATTTGCTAAATATCTTTTCATTGTACTGGCTGTTAATTTAAGTACTATAGTATCACAATACCTTCCTCTCGATGACCAAGTCCCAGCTTACTGAGAAATTTTTTTGAGCCATGTTCATCCCAGATGTGAATTTTTTTCTCTTTCAGTTTGTTTGCATTAGTACAACCCTGAATGAACCAGATCAGCTCCTCTGCCACTCCTCGCCAGAACACACGCTTTGTAGTCAGTAGGGGGAAATCTTCAAAACACACAAATTCAAATCATCAATGACATGTAATCAAAGTTGTCAATGTAGACTTAGTTCCTGATACTGATTATAAATGAATTTAATCATTGATGGGCATATTGGAGAAGACAATTATAATGAGATCCACTCACATGTACAATGCAACATCAGAATGTAAGTTATTGGTCGGGAACAATCCTGGTTGACAAGCAGCTTATGATAGCTAGTCAACAGATTCTAACACAAGTTACATTTCTTTGATTCACTGACAGAATTACAATCAAAGAATGGATAGGAATGCCTACCTTCTCTCAGATTGTACCTCATCTGCATACCAAAAATCGAAAGGGTGTCAATCCCTGTTCTGTTGGTCTTACGAGTACCATAGTCCAAGATTTGTTGTATTGCATCAAGATAATGCTTCTCATCATGCCTGTAAAAGATAATTAATTCAAAGAATCAGATATTGATCAGAGAAACTGACTGAACATAAGGTGTTTCTCAGAACCAGATATGCTGTATCAAAATTTCAATCACCCACCAAGATGTACAATGCAGGGCTCGCGCTGGCGATCGCCAATGGCGCCATTGGCGAAAGTGAAATGAGATTGGCGATTTCAAATTTCTATTGGCGAAAATGCCGATTACAGACATTTCCAGTCACCGATGACTGTATAGAGAAAAATCACTGGCGTTTAGCTTATTTGTAACGAGTGACAGGTAAATTTTGCTCCGACATCGTTGTGTACTACACGGTCACGGCTGACTGACTCCCGCAGCTGGGGCAAGGTCAGCTATCAGAATTCTTTTTGTGTTTTGACAGCAACGTTTACCTGTCTAAACAGCAACACGCCTGTAATGAAAATCGCCAATTATCCAATGATGTCTCCATTGTCTCAATCCGAGATAGCCTCTGCCGTGAACAATAAGGTAAGTTAGCTGAAGGAAAGATGTTGTTTTATCGGGAATTGGCTTACGTAAGGTCGATCATTAGGTGTGTCGATGTCGTTAATTGGGCATGAGTTTGTGATTTCTGCAGACATAACTTAGTAAACTAGTGTATTTGAAAGGGCCCGAAATAGGCTTCTTAACCTTTTTGATCGACTATTAAAATAGCAAGAAACACAAGATATAATTTTGTTGTTTTTACACTATGTTGCCGATTTTGTTTTATATTTTTGTACATATTTTGGTCACATCAGATTTGGCCCTTCACTAAGATAGATCGTTAGATGAAATGGGAAAACGTAAACTCCCCTTTAGTGATAGGGATGGGAAAGTACCCAGATTGTCATCATTTGGTTTTAAGACACCATCTATTGAAAAGGAAAATGACAGCCCTGATCAGGTTACTAACAAGGGCAGTAGTTCAAGAAAGTTTCTAGATAGTTGGAAAATTGGCAGGCCATGGCTAAAATATGACCCAGAGCAAAAGCTCATGTTTTGTGACATATGTATGAAGGCATTAGTTAGAAATAGTTTCACTGATGACTGCAGTAAGAAAGAGTGTTTGGTTAAGCATGAGAAAGGATCAGGTATATACAACTATTCATCATTTATGAACAGAAAATTATGTAAATTTAGATTAAGTAATTCAGAAATACTATACAGCCTGGAGGATGGTACAATGTAGTTACTCATTACAGCCTGCTTGGCACATGAATTAGAAACACAATCTTTTAGTTTAACGATTATGTCTTTATTATCTCTGAAATGTTTTTAAGAGATATATTACTTAGGAAGTTACTGTAATAAGTATAATACTTTGATGGTGTAAAATAAGGTTCAATGTAATCCTGTATCTCTCTGCAAATGTCCAATTCTATTCTAAATTTTATTTTCAATTTTACAGATGAGAACTCTCACTCTGCTGCTTTGGCAACACAACAGCAAACTGCCGAGATGCAGAAGGCCTGTAATAATTTCATGTTTATAAACTCTTTTACCATATACTGTATTATATTTGATGTATTGTTGTTAAAACAGTGAATAAATAATGTAATTATATAATTAGCATATTTGTTATTATTATATGAGGGAATTAAGGGCTCGTCGGGTGAGGGTGAGGGCGAGTTCCGGAATCTGTTTGCGCGCTTATAGCAAAAAACATTTGGTTTGGCGAAACTGAATTTTGACCCAGAGCTAGCCCTGACAATGCGGTAAAATATTATCAATAACAACAGACGGTACTTTGAATAAATCCCTAATATGGGATCATCTCATGGCACATTGGCATTTTTCTTTTAGACATAAAAATGACCCATTTTAAGGTCAGGGGTCAAATGACAATTATCGCCTACAATACTGAATATATGGTTATTACCGTTGTATATTTGGTAATTCAAGAAAATACCAGTCTCGATTGCATTTACTAACAAATCTGACAAAAAGATCCAAAATCATGATTTTTAAAATTGAATAATTATACCTCCAAATCCTTTTTAATCACAAAAAAATTAAACAAGAGTATCAATGAAACTGAAGAATGCTCTCCAGAAATGACTTAATTCAACACAAAATTTTCACAATGGGCAATAAATCTGTAATAAAGGTGTTGCTGGCCGTGAATTTGGTTACATGATCCTAGTTTTAATGTAAGCAAAGCTTTGTCATGACACAAAATTTTAACAAAGGGCAATAACTCTATACAGAGAGAGTTTACATTAGTGTTGTTCCGATTAATCGAGTTAATTGAGTATCACTTGTTTGAGATGTTTGATCAATTAATCGTGTAAGAAATCTGTAATCGATCATCGTGATGTATGAAAATAGATTATTTCAACATTGAAATTATTTTCAACATTAATAAAATTATTTGAAAAAAAACGACATTTGTTTGTATTAAAAAGTATTCTGTGCAATAAACGAATAACAAGCACACAAAATGATGGTGTAGGTACAACAGTTTTAGTTATTACGTGAATTGCTGTTAAAACATAACACAAAATACGTATTTAGACTTGAATAATATCCAAAAAACAGACAATTAACAATTAATCGATTTTAATCAATCATCGATCGGTTACACAAAGTTGATGATCGATCAGGAAATCTCAACCGATTCCAAACACTAGTTTACATGAACAAAACTTTGCTGCCAACCGCCATCATGTGGAATTTTTATAAAAAACTATTTTTTCTCAGAAATAGGCTATGAAATTTTTCCATTAGATGACCATACATAGGATCCCTTTGTACTGATTTTGAAAAAAAAAGCAACCAGGAGAAAAAAAGTACAAAAATCTCCTTTAATGTGAGGAACACAAATGGTATTACATTGATATACAGGTACATTATAAAGTACGTCATCACACAAACAGGGTACGAACACCATATACATGCTGTATATAAGATTAACAATAAATTTAGTACAGGACATAATTAAGAGACAACTGTGTATAATTAAAGATACAAAGAAATGATTTCTATCATGTTTCAAAGTTTAGATCTCCCATATTTATGAGCTTTCTTGTAAATTTGTTAATTGTACATTTTCCACATGCAAAGCTTTGTCCCAATCACACCGCCATTTTCATTTCAATTTTGGGGTGAGGTTGATAGCCCACAATTTCAAAGTCTTCAAATTTGAAATCATCAATGTCTTCCACTTGTCTTTTGATCACTAATTTTGGGAATGGCTTTGGTTCTCTAGCCAGCTGAAAAGAAACCATTGTGGAGTTTGTAATGATCAACATCTTGGATTATGAAATTTTTGAAGAATTTCTCCTTGTATTTGTTAAATGTAACAATAATGCTTCATATAACCAATTCAACAAACGTGTTTAGAATCGAAGTAAATATGTTTAAATACACCAATGTTCTTTACAAAATGAATGATGTTGTTCTGATATTTTCTGACGAAGTGTTCTACCCCAGTGAAATATCTACTTGACCCTTAATTTCTGAAATAACTCGATCCTACAGACCAGATTCCTGTCTGTCACTTCTACACAAATTACCAATTGAATTCTTTGTGGTATCCCTACAGAACCTGGAGTTCTAAGTTGATGTTCAACCATAATAGCACAAAGAAAAATTCGGGAAAAATCATGTACTAATATCATAGAAAAAGAAATATAAATTACCTGTTCTTTTAAGGGATCAATGTGATTTACATACACATGAGCATCTCCTAATGTGTGTACGAAATCACCAGGCTGAAAAAAAACATACACAGTCATATGTATTAAACAAACAAGTACATATATATATATATATACAAACTTATACAAAGTTGACCTGTCCTTAAAAGGTTGGTCCTCAATACAACTGACAGGCTATCACACCAATCTTACGGATTTTTATAACAAGGATTTCCCTATGATCAAGAGATCCCAGATGATCTTGGTGCCCAGCATCATTTGATTTTTATTTGTTCTTTAAAAAAAATGATGATGATTATAATAATAATAATAATCTTTAACTGCCAAATTAAGATGGTCAACTGCCAGCCATTTTTCCCCCCTGATCCGTCCCAAAATCAAACAGGTATAACTAAGGACCATGAGGTACCTACATACGAAACGTGAGTAAGATCCAACCATTGCTTCTTAAGAAACAGCAACAACAAACTTTCATTGTAATCATAGACTGTCGTCTGTCAGCCATTTTGCATTATTTAATCAGTCCCAAAATCAAATGGGCATAACTGGGAGCAAGGGAAATCTACAAATGAAATTCGAGAAAGATCCATCCAGTCCATACTTGCCAAGGAAGAGCAGTAACAAAAATTCTTTATGGATAGATGGACATAGGGTGATTGGTATAGCCCACCATCTGACCATGTTTAGAGAAACTAAATTAAAATATAAACTTTGGCAAAATGATATTTATTAGATAAGAATTTAGGACCTGAATGCAATAAATTCAATTTTCAAATAATAGAAGATTATAAAAGTCAGTAGGGATTTTTGCTGATTTTAACCATTAGAGTGCCAACTATTCAGAACATCAACACTAAACAGCCCTGCATTGCGAAATAAATACACACACAAAAAAACCCAAAAAAACAAACAGATTCAGTGCAAGATAGATGTTGCCAAGGAGCATTGATCATTGCACAAACTTCTGGACACGTGTAAAGTTGTCTGTGATGCAACATACCTTGAGATTAGTCACATGAGCAATCATGTAGGTCAACAGAGCATAACTGGCGATGTTGAATGGTACACCAAGACCCTGAAAATTGACAAATTATTCTAATATCAGGGCAGTGTTTGTCTTTTAATCCAAAGGAATTAAAGAGGATATCTATCCACTTATCAGGAGAATATCAATGCATAAGTTTTAAACCAAATAACAACGCGATTTGATCTGTGGAGGCACATGTATTTAAACAATCAAAACTGTATTGATCATATACAACAAAATAGGAGAAAAGGTTGAGAAGGCAATTTTCAGTTGATTTTGACGATATCCTATTCTTCCATTTTTAGGAAATGGGTTCATGGTAAATTGGCAACCTAACCTAAAGAAATTCCTTTAGATACGCTGGTAATGACTGACAGGTTGTCCTATTATTTATCCATCACAACATGTTAGTATAGTATGACCCCTATGTATTTACACTTGGGTTTCTCATTTTCTTCTCTCAGAAACCCATACAAAGTTGGTACGTATAAATGATTCTATACTCTTTTTCTCAGTGGGGACATGTAAGTGGAAATAAAGGAGAAAGTAAGCCATTAACATTGATTATTGTACG